ACAACAACATTTAATAAAAAAATCTGGACCTTTTTTTTATAAAGTGTTTGGAAATACCGAGCCCAAGTCCTTCACGGAAAGTACCAGACGTCGAGAATTAAGAATAAGCCGATTTCAGAAAAATGTTAGGGGGACCGGAGGTGCGACATCAGCAGATCAAATTGGATGAGAGGAAAAACAGTAAAATTTTGGGAAGAGAAATCGGCAAGAAGCGCGTTTAGGTGGCAAGGACGTTTGACCACAGAACAGGAGAAGTGGCCGAAGAAACGCTTTAATAGTCAAATTCAACGTTTTAGGTATCAGAGGACAGACACTCCTAGACAAAACAGTAATTCCGTGACTACAGCACAAGTGTTTTATGAATAATTTGGCTAATATATAAAATTTAAAGGTTTTGTTCTCTTTTTCAATAACCAGGGCCCCCTGCAATAAGCATTTGCCGTGCCGAAAATTGGCCATTTTTTCTAGAAGCATTACAATACATTAGCTCTACTGCATTAGCAGTAGCGATAAAGTAAAAATTGCAGCCATTTTTGAGAAAGGTTTGAAAATGACTCTGAGGCTTCGAGTAAAATGCCTTCTAAATTTAAGCATGCTTTTCAAAGTCGCAGAACTTGGTGTCGGGTCAGATCATCCCATGGATATTAATTTTAGAAAACGTCAAACGAATATTTTAGGTGCTAGTGTTGTTCACAGACGGCAGGACAGACCAACGGACATTAAAAAATCAAACAAAAACACACACACTCTTTTCAATGGGAACCTCAAAACATTGAAATCTTGATATCGATTTTTAGCAGCATTTCATAACTTTCTTCACATTGCGTATATACGTTCGAATGCGAAATCGTAACAGAATGTCGAGGAAATTTTTAAAATTTGAAGGAAATTTGAAATCTCGACATCATTATCCGACTAAGGGGGCTCAAGATATAACTGATGACATTCTGCAGTGCCTCTGATTAGAAGACTTTGATTAAGCAGAACTAATCGTAAAGTAAGCAGATGGGCGTTGGCTCTCGACGAATGTGACCATGGAATCGAGCCTCGGAACTGAGATCGACCAGTCGAGAAACATTCGAGCTTTTCACGACTGGTGCGATCGCCCGCTGGTGGTGATACCTAGATACAAAAAAGGAACAGAAAGATGGCGAGTAGAAAGATGGCGCGTCAATTGGTGGCCGTGCTGGACCTTTATACGGGAGCGCCTGGGGTTCGAGTCTCGACGATTGTTTTTCGTCACTAGCTAAATAGTTACTTAGCTGCGTACTACATCGCTGCCTTTAGCGGCTGGAGCCGACCTGACCCCGAGCGGCGGGCTGCTCGCATCAGTAGTTTTCCGTGTTTTTCCAGATTATAAAAATAACAAAGGAGAATAGCGGAGCAGTACTCTAACAAACGAGCCCCTGAGAGAGATCTTTTTTTCCTTCTCAAGCTTGTCCTCACCCTTATCCTACAACTAGACCTCGGATTTTAGGACAAATGCCTATTTAGTTCCTTTAGGAGGTTGTGGAAAATGACTGCAAAAGTTTACGAATCAGTAAAAAAGTAGATTTACTGAAAACATCTAATAGTGCCTTAAATGTTCTATAATGGTGGTTGATGTCTGTTTTAATATTTTTGCGCGTAAAACAAGTAATTTTCATGAATTCATATATTTTAATTACTCTTTTTTTAAATTTATTTTATCGAAATGGAAATACTTTCCCGTACTTTATGAAACGTGAATATTCCCTGAAGGAATGCGCAATCGACTACGCACCGAAATCTCTCAACAAACATACCGAAAAGGAGCTCTGGAAGTCAATGTAAAGAGGATGTTACATGTCTCCGATCAACCTCTAAGCACTTCTTAGGCATTTTAACGCATTCCCGGTAGAGCTGTGCTGTGGACAGGTTCAGAATGAAAAGTGGGAAAGAATGAATTAAAAAATGTTTAAAAAAATTAAAGTTATTAAAATAATATACTTGTAGTCACTATTATATACGTAAAAATTCTAAACTGTCTTGAAAAATTAAAAAAAAGTGCCTAATTTAATCCTTTTGTTTCAGATGACAGAAACATAAATTTTCATAACTAATGTTATTAAATGCATGATTTAAGGGTGACCTATTGTAAGTGCATAAAATGTCACTTTTCATGTTATTAGTGCTCAATATCATAATTTTGTTACCAATTTTAGGTGCCTAAATCATAATTTTTTGTGACTAAAATTCCGAGGTCTACCAATTAACACGTGTTGGGAGACTAGCCGTGAGGTCCTGGGGTTTCAGTCCCGATGGTGGCAGGATTTTCGACATTACCTAGATAGCTAGGTCAGCCGCTATCTGGAGGAGAACGTAGCGGCCGGTTGCTCTGATCGGCAGCTTTCTGTGCTTTCTCCAATTAACACCACGCGACTGCCGGAGCAGTTCCCTAACAAACGGGCCATGGACCACCTGCGATCTGTCTTTCCTCTTCCTTGTCCTATCCTCACTAAGGAGCGAGTCCACTTATACACACTTACACTTACACACCACACGTGTCGGGAGACCAGTCAGCAGCTTACGTAGAGTATGTCCCGGCTGGGGCGGTGCCGCACTGATGGGAGATAACTGGATGGGGAAAACTCCGCCTGTTGGCGTGTAAGTCAGCGCCGGATCTCGCCATCAAGTAGGAAATAACAGCCACCTCCTGCGATGAAAACATGCACTACATTTACGGGAGTCATGACTATTGTCGTTGACGCACCCGTAAGCAATCTCGGATGTAATTTATTAATATACAATATTACGAAGTGAAAATTAACATCGCTACATATCTGTCCAAAAGTTCAAGAGGTAAGCGAGACGCTTATTTTGTGTTATTAGTAAATCCATTTATCCATATGAAGAAATACAAGAACTTTGAATCAATTCGTTTGAGGTTCGTTTGAAGTTGATATATTTGTACTTGCTTAGCTCTCCCCCTTCCCTCCTTCGACAAACTTTGACCCCATGTTACGTCCATGACTGCATTTGAACAGTGAAGTGAATGATCCTATTTATTATTACACACTGCAACACGATCATTTCAATTGCCTTATTTCATATTTAGTTTGCAAAATCACGTACAGATGGCAGTGGCGTCAGTCGTCCATTAACTGCCGGAGTGTTCAGTAGTGCAGTGATATTTTACGTAAGTCTTTAAGAATTGTTCACCTTTGCGAAAGGCACATTGCATTGAATTGGTTTCCTTTACGTTCTTATCGTTAAAATAAAATTACTTGCTATAATTTCGTATTGTTAGGTTTGACGAAACGGGAGTGTTTTGTGATTTCTGTAATACTCGCGAAGCCGTAGTTCGACAAGGGATTTTGAACTTGGCAACTCTCGTTCAGAAATCTTTGTGATTGTTGTGTATTTCGTGTTCTTTGCGCAGATGATGTCCACGAACTCATTGTAGGGCGAAGGTCGCACATTCTGGGACTTTCTCCCTGTACGACTAGCCCTAATCTCCGATACTGAAATGCGCGTGGTTGCGCTAGTTAGTGGAGGAAAAGACAGCTGTTACAACATGTTGCAATGTGTAGCGGCTGGTCACGACATTGTTGCCCTAGCTAATCTTCAACCTGAAAACAAAGGTATGTTGTTGATCAGTTTTTTGAGGAAATTAAAAAAAAAGGAAAAAAATAATACATTGTATGCAGTAGAATGTGTAGAGATTTCGGAAGACATTAATCATGTGTCAGCTTCCTAAGGAACATCAATTTTATAATCATGATAATTGAAGGTATTGAAGAATTCGTGTAAAAAGCTAGAACAATCACCACACATACACACCTGCATCAATTTGCTCACTGCTTGCCATGCCTGTGAAATACAATATTTTATAAATGATTGACTTTTTTTCAGAAAAGGCAGTAGTAATAGTTCTATTCCTACTACATTGTCACTTAATTCTGAGCCCAGAATGTCAGTTTTTAATATATTTTTATTCCTACTAGTGGCTTAAAGAAAAGATAACCTTAAAGTCTATTTAAAGTTGAGAATCCATAAGAGGTTATTGTTTGAGCCTTTTACCATTTTTTGTACATTTTCATATGCTTTTAGCTTTCATGTCCATGAATTTAAATCCAGGCATGTACAGATTAGAATTATTTTAAATCTGCCAATCGAAATTGAATTTTGAGTATCGAAAGCAAACCTTAATGGTAAATGTCTGAAAGAAGTGCAAAATGTATATTTAATCTCAAAAATGTTGTCTTATGTATAAGAAGATTATAAACTTTCATAAGATAGAGCAAAAATGTAGTAACATATGGATAATTGAAGAATTTGTTGATTTTTCTTTTCAGGAAAATAAGGGATATTGGAAAAAGATCAATTTTTGTTTAACCGAAACCGTTTTGTTAAACAGAAAACTTTCTTAATTTGACAATTTTCAATGTTTATGAGCTTTCTGCAACTAAATTTTCAAAATCTTTGTCTTGGTCTGTAGTAGACTAGGACTTTTTGTGGCTTTATGTGATTTTTCTTTTGTTTATTTTTATCGTGATCATCTTGAGGAACCTGATGATGGAAATATATTTTCCGAAATGTTGGCAAACAAACATGTAGTGATATTTCTTTACTCCTATTGAAAAACCTCATTTAGTATATAAATTTAGGTTCATTAAGTATTCTCAGGGCTTGTGGAACTTATGAAGTAAAAGCAGAATGTTTACAATCTTTAAGTGAAAGTACGTTTTTTCTCTTCAATTGATGTATTCTTATATTTGTCTAATTTACTCTGAGCCTAATTTTCTGAATAGAAATTTTGTATAGATGATAAATATTGTGAATGTGAACAAAATGTGAATTAATTGGTAATTGTTAAAAGTCCAAGTGTAAATGAATACTTTGAATTACCAAAAAGAAATCAAATTACTGTATTTGCCGTTGTGTAAGACACACTGGTGCATAAGACACACCCCTATTTTCAAGAAGGATTTCATTCTTTAATGTTAAATTTTATACTTGATTTTATTTTTACTAAAGGAATGGGAATTGTGACTTGTGAAATGCTATGATCTTTTATTCACGTACTGCCGGGTTCATTATGATATTTTTCTAATATGCACGCAAAGACGTGCCTTTTCATAAATCTTTTACACCATGACGTTGACACAAACAAAGTTTCAACATTCTTTCATCTTGCAATAGCTTTAGCTTCTGTGATAATCAATTTTGTAGAAATACAAATTCCTGTTTTTCAGTGTACAAAAATTTTATTTTTGTAATGCTTTATACTAAACATTCACACAGTTACAAAAATTCCCTTCCGTTGTGTAAGACACATCCTGTTTTTTGACGTGTTACTGAAAGAAAAATTTCGTCTTAGACACCGACAATTACGGTAATATCAAGTAATTCTCAAACTTAGGAGAAAAGAATGCAAAAGGAATGGTTCCAATTTTTCAATGATTGAATATTTGAAAGAGGCCATAATAAGCTTGTTATCTAGAATTTCATTGCTTGCTTTTCTTGCTATTTAGTGTCTCCTTGACTATGTTGTGGCTGGCAAATTAGTTTCTGAACTCTCTAATACACTCTTCTTTAGCACTGGCAATGGTATTTTGCATGTAATGAGAACTTCAGTTACTAAGACCTTGCATGCATTGGGTTTGTAATTCTTACTGTCACCACTTCAATCGTATGTTTAACTATGTAGTGAAGCTTTTTGGAAACTTTACAACATACATTTAAATTTTTAATCTATTTCTGTTTAACGGAACAGTGAATGGAATTTGATTTGTTGGCTATAGAAAAGTGAAAAGCTTTTCATAGCAATTGGTAAGAGTTGATTATTCAGAATTATTTTAAATTTTTGTTTCTTTAGAGTGTTACTAGGATTTATTATTTTCTTGTAGTCATCTTTTGTAAATCTTCTCGTTAATGTCTTGGTTTTTATTATTATTATTATTATTATTATTATTATTATTATTGTTATTATTATTATTGTTGTTGTTATTACTACTACTACTACTACTATTTTGGAACCTTTGTAAAAGTAAGTATTAATCCTTACTTTTATTAGAGTAATTACACAAAGTATTATTGTTTGTGAGTCAAATAATTGTGCAAACTATAGTTCTACAAATTGAACAAGTTGATATTGCGATTTGCGACAATTTAATTATGTCATTTAAAGCTCTAAATGTCAGTCTAATCAAACTTTTTCTTTCTGCTTAGAAGTAAACATTTTTATTTTGAAGGAAAAAAAATGTTTGCTTATCTCCTGTCAAATTTAAAAATTAATCCGAGCTGATTGGTGTTTGTGATGTGATGCCCCCTAGATGAACTTGACAGCTATATGTACCAGACAGTGGGCCACCAGGGTGTTCAATTGTACGCTGAAGCAATGGACCTGCCCCTCTTTCGTCAGTCTACACATGGTGTTGCAGTCCAGCAGGGACAACTGTATACGCCCACTGCTGAGGATGAAGTGGAAGACTTATATCAGCTTTTGCGTACAGTGAAAGTAAGTTGGTTTCACAAAAATCGGAGCACTGTAAAAAGAAGAAAAATTCAATTGGCTTGTTTTGAAAATGGAGAATTTAGAAAGGTGTTTCTTATTTATCTTTGGTGCAAAGTCCAGTATTTGTCTAGTAATGTAACCATAATTTCAGTAGAAAATGCATCAAAGTTTAAGAAATCTCTTCGGACTAATGAAAATGGTAACATATTGTAATAATATCATGTGTAGTGTATTCTGTTTTCAGATTTTAAATAATTCCTTGACACATTTTAAATAAGCATGAAAAATGCTACTTGTTTATTGAAAAGGAAAAACATAATTTTTTAAAATTGCAGTGAATCATGTTATTGTGCATTTATTTGCATTTGAATCTGAATTTTTTGTGGAAGGAAAAAACCTGGAGTGCTTCCTAGAATTTTGCACTACTTATATAATCAAACTTTTGGATTTAAAATGTTTTGATTATAAAAATAGGAATACGGAAAATAACAGAAACAAAAATTCATACAAATCAAATCAAAAATGTGAAACATTCTAAATGTTATCTCTGTGATTGTGGTGAAAGCATAATGACAATTTTTTATAATGTGTTTTGTGGATATTTCATAGGAAGAAGTTGATATTGATGCTGTTGCTGTTGGGGCTATTATGTCTGACTACCAACGAATTCGAGTGGAAAATGTGTAAGTTCTTTGAAGTAATCTTACATAAATAAATAAATCTGTTGTCTGTTCTGTGCTTGTTACTGTAATTTGAAAGGAGGTATTTAAAAATAATTTTAATGTGTGCCCTTATTATTTATTTATTTTATTTTGTGAAGAAATCTCCAGTTTCCCTGCATGAATCTGTTATCAATATTTTTAAGATGTCTCCTTGTCTCTTACTAGCATTTGTTTAGAAATTTTTTGTCATTCCAATTGTTCTTTTCAGTATATCATTGTAGAGACTTAGCGATTAAGTTCAAGTAATCCTCCATCTTTGGTGCCAAAATTTGTATCTTTTGTAACTCATGGATTCATGTTTTGGAGATGGTCGAGTATAATTTTTTTTATTAAAAAAATATGGTTTATTTGCGTTCTATTAATGACGTTATTGCTTTTCTCATTTACAATTTAATAATAATAATAATAACAACAACCAACATTTGGTTATTATTATTATATCTATGATTGGATCATGATAATTTGACCATTTTCTCAATCAATGGAATGTTCAGCAATGTTATATCTAATGTCCTTCAAAATTCATGCACATGTGCACTAGTATTTACAAAAATATTGATAGTGAAATTTCATGATTCTTTTTTTGGTGAACATTTGTCCTTGCAACCATGTGGTCTGGTGTAATAACAATCATCAGCTGCCAGTGCTTGCAAGAAATTGGCATTGATATGAATGTTTAACATAATATGAGTATTATTGTATATTAATATAATTTTTATTTTACCTAAAATAGGTGGGCAAAAGGCATTTATTTTTACCAAATTGATATGCAAAAAGCATCTATTCTTCATCTAAAACTGTCTAATGTGAATGTGAATCTTAGTCCAACTTGTCTAAAACAGAAAAAAATACTGGTCCCTTGAAGTTCCGCATTGAACAAGTTTTATTGTATTTACATATTTTATGTACTTTTAGTTCGTATAAATTTGTTCTCTGGTCATGACCAGTTCATTGTATTATGAATGTTTCAGGTGCAACCGTTTGGGTCTTGTGCCACTTGCCTACCTCTGGCGGAGGAACCAAGAGGAGCTGCTGCAGGAGATGATTGATTGCGAGATCAGTGCGATTGTGATCAAAGTGGCTGCGCTGGGGCTGAACCCTACCAAGCACCTGGGAATCACACTTGCAGACCTTCAGCCTCATATTATCCAAATGGTAATTAATCTCTTTATGCTTCTCCATTGTGTTTGTGCTTTATAATGTTTTGAATAATGCAGAGGGTTCCAAACTTTGTGACTTGCATCCATGGAGGCTTAGTTGGGAAGATCAAAGTTTCTGACATCTTTTGTGTTAAGAGAGGTTTATTTTTCTCGTTCATGACAAAGCAAAATTACTATCAGTCTTAGTAAATTCAGTATTCATAAATGGTTTGACTAAATACATGAAAAAAAAAATCAATATGCCAAAGTTAAAAAAACAGCACATACTACTTTAAAGAGCGTTGAGTGATGCACAGTTGCTAAAATTTGGAAGCCTCTGGTATACTTTTATTGACAGGTTTGCGGTCGTCGTTTCTTGCTGCAGTGTACATTATTCAATTTCAAGGGATTTGGAAGATGCATGTAAAGAACATGTAGTGAACATTGAATGTCAATATTAATTCAATCAATAGCAGTATTTTATGTCGGAAGCATTTAGTATTGATCATAGAGAGATGAAATTGCATGTTTATAATCGTGCATGCTATAGGAAGGAAGTATTCTTGGTATTAATGTGATGTCAAGAGGAAAGGCAGTGGTTAATTAGGCACACTCCTAAATACCTGAAGATATGGTTAATTAAGGAAGAATGGATAACATCAATTTCAAACCCGAACGATGTAAAAGATTGATCTCAGTAATATACTCTGATTGAAACACATATTTTAGAATGTAGTGCCTACATTTATGAAGTGTTGGTTAGTAAAATTAAGAATCTCATTTGATAATTGGATCTGTATGTGTATGCGTAAAATAAAGAATGATTTTATCAGAAATTTTCAAACCAGTGTTGGAGTAACAATGTCGTAAAAGGTATTGTGTAAGCATGCTTCCCAGTCACAAGTCCATTGCTAAATGTCCCACTAAAAATTTAGTCTAGCACAAACATGTTCAAAACCATTAAGTTCTATTAAATGAGCCTAAACGAAAAATCTCATTTAATAATCATCAAACCTAAAGGCTGTCTGTTAAAGATAGATAACAAAATATACAATAAATTCCATATGTTGTTTGTAGACAGTCAAAGTTTATTGCATCAATATCGTTCTTGATATTACTTGACATTTGCCAATATTTGTGATGTAATGTCAAGAATGATGCAGTAGACAGTGACTGTCTATTAACAACATATGGAACATATTGTATAATTTTGTTAGCAAAATCTTGTAATTATTATGTCAGAGTTTCTAAAATCTTGTTTTATTTTATTAAAATAAAACTTTCATATCTTGTATTGTCTTATATTGTCTTGAGTTATAATAATCCAAAGCTACTTTGTTTTTCAAATGTTGAGTTAGTGTAGTAATTTGGTAACACTTTGTAAATTGTTAAATTTGTGTATTGTTAAATTTCAGTTTAAAATCATGGCAAGCCATAAAAAAAATGTTTAATTTGCGAAAAGTTTTGAAGAAAAGTAGGGAAAATGTTGATGATTACTTATAAAATCTTAAATTATAATGTGAATCAGTAATTTAAAACAATTGATTTAAAACATAGTGATTTAAATCACCAAAATTGGTTGCAACACTCAAATAACCATTCTTATTTTTAGGAATAACAGAGACAACTATCAGAACAAAAGGTTGTTTTTGTTATGGAAACAAGCCAGTCCTCAAGAATATGTAGTAAAATATGGCTCATCATCATATTCATGGGGGGGGGGTTCAAAAATATTTATAAGTATATTCATTTGCAGCGTGCTAGGGAAGAAACACTGTAAACTAATATGCTGCTTCACTATCATGTCTAAAGTTAAACAGAGATCCTCAACACTACCATTCAATAGGTTGAATATGTAACACAGCTTTTGTGTTTTAGGTTTAATATAGAGTTGCTATGTATTTTTTTGTCAACAAGATGTTTATTCAGCTTTTTTTTTTTGGTTTTTTTTTTTTGGAAAGATTTTTTAAAATTGGAACATATTTGGTTTAATTGTGAACGTTTGGTTTTAAATTACCAAATTTTTTCTTGCCATTATAATTACTGTGGCATTTATCTACATTAAAAAATTTGGACATTTTTTCAATGTACATTTTGCTTTGGGCTTTATGACGGGAAATTGAGCAGAGCTAAGAAACACCTTTTGATTGGGTCCTTTATTCAAGAAACATGATTTATATATTCCGTTTTACTGAGTGCATTTATGTAATAATTTCAAGATAGGATTTTTTCTGTCGCAAAATTCAAAATTGATAAGTAGCTGCTGATTTAAGAAATGTATTTATTAACTTTAACTTGTATATTAATTAATTAATTGATAAATTGGCATGGAATTCATAAATTGGAATGAATTTACATTTTTGATGTTAGTAGATAGTTTTGTATGCTTGGTTTGTTCTTTTCAACAAAAAATAACTAAATTTAAATTAACATTCAAATCACCAATGGAATATAATTTTCGGTTGTAAGTCATAACTATATTTTAAAAGCGAAGACTGATCACATTTAAGAGTTTGAAATTTTGTTTTATTTTCGGAGGGGTATCATCTTTTCAAAGATATCAACGTATTCAACTGTAAGAAATATTCTTTTTAACAGGTTACCTTTAATGTATTTTTGTACTTATGCCACTTTTAATTCAATAAATTTTTTATTTCAGTTTTTGTATGCATAGTTTAATGATCATAACTCACCTAAGATATTTTCCTTTTGTTTTTCCTTCAAAACTAATTTTTTTATATGAAAATTAGAAGTGGAGAATATAATATTACAATTAATCTTTTTTTTAATTTGTATATTGAAATTGCGATAAACAAAGCATACTAATTCTTAATATTTTGATTATATTCTATTAGTATGTATATATGTACATATAGAAGTGCTAATTTGGCAGTTCATTTATAATCAAGGCAATTAGAAGCAACTTAGTGATAAAATCTGAAAACTTGCTATAAAAATAATAGAATAATACTGATAAACGTTGTGGCCAAAATTGAGTGTCTGGACATAAGTGTCTTCACTGATGTGTGTTACTTTCTAACATCTATTGTTACAACTACTAAATATATTATCTTTTGAGACAAAGATGTATTTGCTCATAATTCATTGTGCAAAGAGCTGTTTAGAGTTCTTGTGGAAGGTGTAATAGTGATATTGGACCAGATTGGAAAGTGTCGAGATTTTTACCAGTAACAACTTAAAATACCTGAAAGTGGAAAAATACTATTTTATATCCTTGGGTGCGGTAGTGACAATGTCAATAGAATTCATGTCTTTCAGGAGCTTTATTTCAAAAAGGCAGATCCCTCTACTTTTTTTGTAAGCACACCATAAATTTATAGAAGTTTAATCAGTTTGTTTCTGAAAGTAGTGAAATTATGTAGATCATCAGCACACTTAACACCCTTTATGAATCACCCTCCATGACAGATTCCATTAGAATATGCAGCTATTACAGCTTTACAGAACAACTCCCCTCCCAACCACCATCAATTTTATAAGTGCCTTCCTTCCACAAAAATGGCAAATCTAAAGTAATAATAACAATGAATCTGTAGCACGAGAACACAACCACACAGCAAGAGACACAGGGAATTGAAGTAGGAACTTGATCCATTTAAGAATATTGCTGAATTTAAACTTTACTGTGATATTTTCATTATTGATATAATAAAAAACATTGAATGTTATTTATACATTTATTTACAGGAACATCCCTTATAAAGGTTGTTGTAAGTAAATAAATTTACTTAAGTATATAATTTGTAAATCAGTTAGAGTATCACAGAGTAATAGTAGTAATGTTCATCAGAGTCTGACAAATTTTTGCAATGTATGATATGTTCTCAGGAAAGTTTTAAAGAAATTAATGAATATTGAATTTAGATATAGTACAAATAAATTTTAAAAATAAACTATCAAGAAATATCTTACCTAAAACAGTAATACAAAATTATTACACACAACTGTCATGAAACAAGAGTCTTTTTGTAGTAGAAAACAAAGAATATCAAGTGATGTTCAGTATTACGTTTAAGGCAATTTTTAAGGAGTTGTGTGATTTTGTAGGGTCATTGTCAAAAAAATAAACTTTACAAATATTTTTTCAGCTGCTTGTTTTGTAAAATGGCTTGTAAAGTTGGTTGCTATGTTGAATGCTGAACTTTTTGAGACAGGATGTTTTAATAAGGACTTTACAAGTTTGAATGCTCAAACTAGCTCATTCATATGACTCACAAACCTAGGCTTGGCGCTACCTAGAAGGGAAATAGATCAAGTTTTGACTCCTTTAGTACTCTTAGACAGATTTCCAGCACCGCAACTGCTAGCAGCAGATTCAGAAAAGATTTGCCAGCCCGAAAAGTGATTGCTGCGTGTTTTAGTTTGAAAATTTGAAGTCTGTGAGAACTGTGCCACTTAATTGTCTTGCAGAGTATGGTAAAGATCCTCCCAGTAGGCAGCAGTTACTGTTTATCAGTGACATAAGTGTTTTAATGAAAATGGATGTATGATATGACTCAGCAAAGCCTCTGGTCAACGTAGAACAAGTGAGACAAAGCTTTGTTAACAGTCCTAAAAAATCATCCAGTGTGCTTCTCGAGAGCCAGGTGTTCCTCATATGACTGTTTGCGCGGTGTTGAGAAAATGATTGCCTCTCAAACCATATAAGTTAACAATGGTGCAAGAACGAAAATAAGCTGATAAGATTGCTCGAAAGAATTGCTTCGATTGCACATGCTACATGATGGGCTGAGGTACGGAAATTATATGGTCCCCAAGTTAACTGGATTTAACGCCCCTGTTTTTTTTCTTTTGGGGGTTTCATCAATGCGATGTTCCCCCTTACCAGGTTTTCTACCTGAGCTGAGAGCTAGAACCTGTAACTGGTATGGCAAGAAATTGACATCAGATGGGATCAGTGCCTCATGACCAATGAAAGTCACATTGAATCGGTTTATGTAAATTTTTAATCTGTTAAAACTTGATGTATTCCGCTAAATATTAATACCAAAATCA